CACAACCTACTATTGATGAGCTTCCTTACCCTTTAGTTTAATCAAATATCTGATACTCCTATATGTCCTTGCGCTCTTGAATATACTAAAGCATCAATCTCCCTGATTAGGTCTTAGATGGACAATTTCAAACTTTATAAATTGCACGTCCCAAATTATAAAGTTGACCTCACAATAGATAATTCCTTATTTTTCTAATTAAAAAAAAACACAATTTTAGTGTTGACATATTAAGCTTTTAGCACTGCTAGGTTCAGTTAGACTACTGAAGAGATTTTCTGCATAAATTCTAATGGATGATTCTAGTTCCTCCTTCCCAATTTTATTAAAAAAGATAAGTTCGGCTAATTAAAGTAAATGAAATTACAACAGTTGTTTTTGAAAACCTTTACAAGAGAGAATTAAAATGACTTACATAACGTTTCATCCACTACCTCCTAAGAAATTATGACTGAATAACACAATATTGAACCCAGTATTTAAATAGCTGACAAATTGGGCGGAAGATAGCACGTACGTTTAGTTACGTTTTCTCACATTCTTTTGTTATGATATATGTGAGTCTGTCATTACGCCTTGAAGAATGTTACCTTGCTTTGCTGTAGTATCTCTCGAATAAACAAGATTCAAACTGTATAAATTACTAATCTTCATTGATGGAATTTATTCCACCCTGAATTATATAATACTAATCAATTAACAATACAACTTCTTAGTTAACACCATATATATATATATTTATCCCTGCCAGCTAATGCGAGTCTACAGGCAGGAAATCCTACTAAACCATTATAGGAGGAGACTGGTCTTTCCTTCCTACTTTTATTGTAAAATTGATTCAAAAATTTTTCGTATAAGCTTACATTATATAGACCTACCATAGAAAATGTCCCAGGTTAATGCAATGCATAGCATATATATATTTATCCCTGCCGGCTAATGCGAGTCTACAGGCAGGAAATCCTACTAAACCATTATAGGAGGAGACTGGTCTTTCCTTCCTACTTTTATTGTAAAATTGATTCAAAAATTTTTCGTATAAGCTTAAATTATTGAGACCTACCATAGAAAATGTCCCAGGTTAATGCAATGCATAGCATATATATATTTATCCCTGCCAGCTAATGCGAGTCTACAGGCAGGAAATCCTACTAAACCATTATAGGAGGAGACTGGTCTTTCCTTCCTACTTTTATTGTAAAATTGATTCAAAAAATTTTTCGTATAAGCTTAAATTATCGAGACCTACCATAGAAAATGTCCCAGGTTAATGCAATGCATAGTAAAAGCATCTCACTATTGAGGGTGTAATTTGCCCCGTTCGAAAAAAAAAACAAGAAAATATCTGATGTAGTGATTTGTCTTTCCTTAAGCCCCACTATGATATACCGGAATCCACCTATTGATCAGTCTATTTCTATCAAATATTCCAATCCAATGTTTATGTATTCAGTTATTAATGCATATAATTCTTAAGTGTTCTGTATTGTACATTTTTCGGATTGATTCTAAGTTATCTTTATTGATTATAATCTGATTTACTCTCCTGGATTCAAGTTTAAAAAGTACATTTATTCATCTAACTGTTACTTGAGATATATTCATGATATCTGAATGAACAAACATAACTTGTCCTCTACTATTTACTATGCTACTCTGACTAAATATACAAACAAATGTTGACACTATTTTTTCAGGTAACTGTGGTTGATACAAAATACACAACCTACTATTGATGAGCTTCCTTACCCTTTAGTTTTATCAAATATATGATACTCCTATATGTCCTATATATTCAGCAAAATATTTAAATGCGTATCATTGTGAAAACTTGAACAAGGGGGCGGGGCCTAATTTACAGGGAAATGTTTACTGTGACGTCACACAAAAATGGGTACATTTTGTATTCCTCATAATTAATTTTACCGTGTTTATGTGTGCAGGTTTGGCATGTTTAACATCGAGGTGGCTTATTAAATCGCCTTTTCGCAAGGGCATACACTTAACAGATGTTAGCCATTTTTTGAATATAAATAAAGGATATGTTCCTTAACTTGAAAATTGCTTCTGCTTTCTTTAATTCGAAAGTGTAACTTAATAAGGACATAAAATACTTGGTAAAGGTCATCCATATTTCGACATGAGCATATTTGCTTGAAATTTTAACTAATAAAATGCGAATTCTATATAAAGCAGTAACACTTTCTAGAAAGTACAAATTGTGCATAAACAACTGGTTCCTTAATTCTTAATTTCAACTAGAGTATGCCCTTGCAATTTTAAAATTTGTTTATGACCTCCATGCTGTATATACATACTATGCATATATCACGTGACTGTCCATTGATGGCACCAAACTTAATTCAGTACAGGGTGGGGTATACTATATTATTTCAATTAGCATTTAAGATATGTAATAATAAAACGGCTTTATAAAGATAAACTCAGTTTTAAAAAGTTCCCTTTTTTGCACGTCTAATTTCAATTGATTTCTTTATAGTAGGCCTTAACAGTGCTGCGCAGCTGACAAGAAAGAGCGGAAAACAGCACAGTGAGTTTAGTTATCTGGTGATTGTCATTGTGTCTTTTAGAATTTCACCATGGCTGTAGTAGTTCTCGAATATTTAAATGCGCATCATTGTGAAGTCTTGAACAAGGGGGCGGAGCCTAATTTACAGGGAAATGTTTACTGTGACGTCACACAAAAATGGGTACATTTTGTATTCCTCATAATTAATTTTACCGTGTTTATGTGTGCAGGTTTGGCATGTTTAACATCGAGGTGGCTTATTAAATCGCCTTTTCGCAAGGGCATACACTTTAAAACAGATGTTAGCCATTTTTTGAATATAAATAAAGGATATGTTCCTTAACTTGAAAATTGCTTCTGCTTTCTTTAATTCGAGAGTGTAACTTAATAAAGACATAGAATACTTGGTAAAGGTCAAACATATTTCGACATGAGCACATTTACTTGAAATTTTAACTAATAAAATGCGAATTCTATATAATTCAGCAGCACTTTCTAGAAAGTACAAAGTGTGCATAAACAATTGGTTCCTTAACTTTTAATTTCAACTAAAGTATGCCCTTGCAATATTTAGATTTGTTTATGACCACCATGCAGTATATACATACTATGCATTTATCACTCGACTGTCCATTGATGGGACCAAATTTAATTCAGTACAGAGTGGGGTATACTATATTATTTCAATTAGTATTTAAGGTATGTAATAATAAAACGGCTTTATAAAAATAAACTCAGTTTTAAAAAGTTTTCTTTTTTGCACGTCTAATTTCCATTGATTTCTTTATATTAGGCCTTAACAGTGCTGCGTAGCTGACAAGAAAGCGCGGAAAAAAGCACAGTGAGTTTAGTTATCTGATGATTGTCATTGTGCCTTTAGGAATTTCACCATGGCTTGCTGTAGTAGTTCTCGAATAAACAAGATTCAAATTTTATGAGGTACTAATCTTCATTATGAAATTCACTCCACAATTATTATAAACTTAATCTACTAATTAATTAACAATACAATATCTTAGTTAACACCATATGCAATTATCCGTGTCAGCTACTGTGAGTATTCAGGCAGGAAATCATACAAAACCATTATAGGAGGAGACTGGTATTCCCTCCCTACTTCTATACTAAATGTGATTCATAAATTGTTCGTGTAAGTTAAAATTATTGAGACCTACGATACAAATATTCCCGTGGTTGATGCAATGTATACTAAAAACATCTAACCATTTACACGTTCGAGAAAAAAAATCTGGTGTATTGATTTGTCTGGCGATTTTTTTTTGCCTTTAGCCCAACTATTATATATCCACTTATTGATCCGTCTATTTCTATCAAATATTCCAATACAATGTTAATGCATCCACTTATTATCAATATACTTATTTCTGAAATGTAATTTATTGTAGATTTTTTTTATTATTATTCTTTTATTATTATTAATTATCTTTCATAATTATAATCTGACTTTACTCTTATGGATGCAACTTTAAAACGTACAGTTATTTATCTACCTCTTACTTGAGATATATTCATATACTGTATATTATTATTATTTTTTTTAAATATTTTATTCAATAACAGAATAACAATAACTGTGGAGGTAATGCCTCATCAGAGGCCCTCGCATATATATTCTCATCTGGGGTGCCAGGAGCTCCCTGGATCGGATAGAAAAAAATAATTGTACATATCAAAGATAACAATTATGTGGTTTAATACAGTAAGGTAGAATAGAATACACAAAAAAGCATACATGACAGTTCACATTTTATGAGTACAAAAGAAATGTTTCATTCATATTTCGTAATTATTTAAGTACATTTCAAACTACAGCAGTTTTACAAAAAAAATTCATAGGGGGCATCAACGCATCAAGTCCAAAAAGTCCCCCTACGATTATACAGTATATATATTTACTGTATATTATTTGAATGAATTAAAATAAAGTGTCTTTGACCACGTACTATGCTACACCCATTTCTGAATTGTCTTTAACAATGGTTTTATCTTAATTAAGTCAACATTATCTTTCACAAGTTTAGATTTATACTTTTTTTGATGCCACTATTTAAAGTAAATGAAATCACAACAGTTGTTTTTGAAAACCTTCACATGAGAGAATTTAAAATGAATAATTACAACAATTTTTTTTCCACCGCGTACTAAGTGATTATGATTGAATAGCACAATATTTAGCCCAACGTTTTAAATAACTAACACATGTATGATCGCGCGGAAAAAACGCACGGTACACGTAGGTACGCTTTCTAACGCTTTTGATATAACATATATCTGATGTCTGACATTGCGCCTTGAAGAATTTTATTATGTTATGTTGTAGTAATTGTCGAATAAACAAGATTCAAATTTTATGCAAAACCTTTTATGTATTTTATGCATAGATCATGCGAGTAAGTAAGAATGATATATTTTACAACGCAATGATATTGCTATTTCAATTCTTTTTCAATAAGATTTCCTGGAGATGGACGGATGGGCAATAATGATGAAGTTCATTGCCCTACGTTAGGTAAGGAACATATATAGAGTTAGTTATATTCACATTGCAAAGGCATATCGTTGTTGAGAGAAAACTTTTTTTTAAAACATCAGAATTGATAGATAGACGGAGAATAATGGATGCAGTTGATGAGTGTAATTTGTCTGTGTAAAGTTCCCTGAAGCCTGTGATAAGAGATGAAATATCCTGACCCTTAGTCTAATGCGATATCAAAACTTGTAAGAAGTCATCAAATTTTATTTCGTATTCTCATTTTAAACCAGTCTTATCTGTCTTTTAAGGTGCTAAGTCTCTCATCTGATTTAGCAATGATGGGAGGTGGTCACGGAATATATCAATCACTTGACTTGTGTTTTGCAGCAACTGGATGGTGTTCTGGAGATGTGATAGGTCCTGGAATGTGTTCCAATAACACTGCAAAAGATTTGAAATATTGTGTCCAAAACTAACTTCGGACGTTTGTTTCTCATTTTTGTTTCACTTGTTAGTTCAAAATGTTCAATTGTAAGTCTTAACTGAAATAAAGTAGACGGGTATCGAGCGTTTTATCCATAATATTTTTGTGCATCAAAGAAATTGAGGCCATACCGACAATTTTCTTTATGCAAGTGCTAGATATAATACTTTTCAAGGTGTTATCTCTGATCATAACAACTTTGGAAAAATTCATATTTAATACAATTGATGGAGATTTAGGAAAATGAATATTTGATATTTTCATTGTTGTCATCGTTTCAGTCACTTAGAATACTCTCTATTTGCCTGAGTATCTCTTGCCGATGTACCCAACTGTAAAGCCAAAGATCTGTAGCATGATTATAATTTCCTAGGTAAGACTACAAAGAACACGCTGATGCAAGTGTAGTAGGGAAATGACATATTGGGACACGAAAGCGACTTAATCCAAAAAAACAGTGAGTTTTTTTTGTTTTGAAGTCTATTGAAGTTTTGGTTTTAGCTTTCTTAAGACTGACTCATTTCCAGATTAGTAAAATCAGTTATAAGAATTTATTATTTTTAGAGTAGATTTGTGTATATGTTTGGATGGACATATCATCTAAAATTAATCCAACATCATATATCTTGTAGATGGAATGATGAAATGATATTTCAGTGCTTCACTCTCACCCAGTCGCGTATTTCTTAATGAAGACCAGCTGTTATTTGGACTTTGGTTTTTTGTAGATTTAAAAAGATACAGCAATGGAAGAATGAGAAATCAACTGCCTCACAAGTTTCCATAATTTCCGGCTGGTAAGCGACACCATATATTGCAAGGCATATGCGAATGATGCAAAGTTAAAATATCTCATGTTATGAGTGAAGCTGTGAATTTAATCTCAACCTTATTGGGTTGTGAGTCAACATCAAATACTAGTAGTAATGATGTCATGATATTTTCCTATCTTATCTCGAAGAAATCGGTTGAAAGGTTTGGAATCTCTGGAAAAAATGAGCGTTAGTTGTAGTGGTCTTCCAAAATATGATTCCCTTCTTTTTGTTTTCAATTTTCCTTAGATCTGACATTTCATTGTTAAACATGTTAAATATATGAAGATTTCTGCACTCTTATATGTGTGTATTATTTATTATTATTTATTAGAAAGTATTATTATTATCATTTCAGTTTTACCAAGCTGCATGACTAAATGATCTGAAATCATGGTTAAAGGGAGATAATGCATATTTTCTGCAAAACGTAGATGGATGAGGAACTGAACATTGATCTCTAGTGGTTGTATGTGGTTTTATTTTATCTTAAATGTAAATATATACGTTGACATGCTGTTTGAATATTTTTATTGGTAAAGAGTGTTTTTGTGTGCATAATGAAGAAAGTCTACCATTGCATCCTTGATATACATTAATTATGTAATTATTTTTTTGACATCCAGATCTTTTTGTTTACTTCAGAGAAGTTTCTTTTAGATTAATTTAATTGTAACAACAAAATTTAGCATTTAATTTTTTTCCCCAAAAAAATTTGCTATGTTTGACTTTTATTGTTAATCTCATAACTCTTTCTAACAAACATGTCATTTTGAGTTATGGGAGTGTTGAATATTTTATTTAAAAATCTATTAAAGAATTATTTATGTTTATTGTATTTCAATATTTTATTCAATGAAATCAATTAAAACATCATTTTTATAATTCCTCATCCTTCAAACATGCTTTTGGTCCAGAAAATTTTAAAACCCCAAAGAAAATCAAATATTGACGAAATAGTGCCCGTTCTTTTGCCTTTGACAAATACTTCTATAGTACTCAACTTAATCAACTTATTTTTATTCTAATTATTTGAATAAATTTGTTACTTCCTCACATAGATTTTTTTTTAAAATTTAAATTCATTTCTTCAAATTTGGTAAAAAGATAAAGGTCATTGACAAAGAGGTTGCATTCAATTTTATCCCACCCACCCCCCTAATTTGAAAGGGATTGAGTATTAAAAAATGATTCTAAATTATTTTGACAACCAATGAAAAACATGTTGTTTATTTTTCCATAGATTGTCTGTAAAGTTCGTGCTTAAATGCGGGATCCAAGTTTATTGTCAGTTGCTATTCTACATGTACATAAATTTAATGACATCAAAATTTAATGTAAGGGATAGAGCACCCCTTTTTATCTTTTGTTTCAGTCTAAATAGAAATAAACATTTTTCTCCACACATGTATTTGTTTAACCTTCAAGATATCAAATTGCAAGCTTGAAAAATTAATATTTAAATCTGAAACGTAAAAATGAAATATTGTATGATATATACATTTTTACTTAAATGCTTATTATACGAGGGCTGCTCAATAAATAATGTCTTCGGTGCTCAGAAAGAAGCAAACGACGCTTTTCAATGATATAGTCTTTATGATTTTACTTATTAATCTCTTTTAATTCAAACACATGTCCGTAACATTTTTTATCCAATTTCTGATTGTTTTAAAACTTTTTTTAGGGTATGACTCTTAGTATACGGGAGAATGCCAGATCTAATGATTTCCTGGACTTGTTTTTTCCCCCCTTCTGATAGGTATTTTTTCAGGTTTTGGTAATAGAAACAAATCAAAAGGTCAAAGATCTTGCGAATATTGTTAATGTGAAAAAACATTAACTTTCTGTTTATCCACAAAACACCTTTACTCTTCAGGGCATGCGGGTTTGGACGCTGTTATAA